GAGATGGTTGTAGCGATACTGAGACCATTCACATTCAATTCAAAAGACCCGCTGTGCTTTCTGGTAAAAGAGAAAAAATATCTTTTTAAGCAGATAAATTACTTCTCTAAAGAAGAGATGTTACCTCACTCACATTATTCGCAGGTACTTGACCCTCCAGTTTCCATTCAGACTGATGAAGGCATCACCTATAGACAGTGTGACTCCAGTCCCTGGCACCAGGTCCACTGAAGACTTTGGTATTCCCACCTTCAATACACGTATACTGGAAGAATTTGTGTTTTGTTTGTTTAAGCGGCAACAGGACAAAATACTTTGTAACAGAATTTAGAGACATGTTGAACAAACTGGAGCCTTACTTTGACAAATTGTACTGGACTTTTCCAATCGGAGACACCCTCTGTTCCCCTGAAAAGTCTGGAACTTGGATAGAATTGAGTTTCTGCTGCATGTCAGCCATGCCCAGTTGCCTGCCTAACAAAATGTAAAGAAAAATAATTTACTGAGCAAACACTGGAGAAATCAGTCCTTTTTGAGCAAGAGGACAGCTTTTACACAAACCTTACCATATTCAATGCCTTTTTCTGTCAACCTGACCTTTACTCCAGGATTGATGCTTAAGGTTGCGGGGATGAGAGCCCCCAGAACCAGCCAACAGCACAGGAACATCTTCAGAGCTGAGCCATGAAGAATAAGAAGACCAAGGAATATTTATACAAGCACAAAAGCAGAAGAAGCTAAGCTTCTGCTTACGAAATCTATGGGGAAAAATTGGAGAGCAATAAAATCCAGCTTCTTCTTTTAGTGACAGTTTACAAGAACATGTACCAATTCAACAGTCCTGACATACAGAGCTTAGTGGAGCAGCAATGCAAAGCAGTTTATTTCACCACTTCCTCGGGTTGCTTAGAGTGAAAGCCTATGAAAGAGCTAACGGCCATTGCTCCACATGAGACTGCATAAGATTGAATGACAAATTACATAATGATGAAGTTTAGTTATACAATGACAACACAGTTATCACACACTTAGTTCATGTGTCTCAACATTTAATTTTGTTAACAAATAAACCACAACAGAAAACTACTAACGATTTGTTATCAGAGCTATACAAAAAACCTCTAACATTAGGTCTTAGAAAAAGTTAAAGACATCTAGCTGTTAAATCGAGAGCACCCTAAATTTAGAGTCACACTGAACATCAAAAGTTATCCTGGTGCTATAGACACCTGAAGATGTTTGTAGGTGCATTTGGCGACAGGTACAGGTGCGACTGTGAACCTGAATGAACCGGTTGCCCATCTTCAAGGAAAGGTGCCCAAACACCATTGCTCTCTCCAAATCCATCCTATTTTTTTTCTACTTTTGCTTTTTGCTAGTGTCATTGTTACTGCAAGACACAGTGCAAGAGTGTGACAGA